TCTCTCTCTCTCTCTCCCCCCCTCCCCCCCCCCCCCCCCCCCCCTCCTTCCTTCCTTCCTCCCTCCCTCCCTCCCTGCAACCTCCACCTCCTGGGTTCAAGCAATTCTTCCTGCCTCAGTCTCCTGAGTAACTGGGATTACAGGCATGCACCACTACGCACGGCTACTTTTTGTATTAGTAGTAGATATGGGGTTTTGCCATGTTGGCCAGGCTGGTCTTGAACTCCGACCTCAGGTTATTCGCACACCTCAGCCTCCCAAAGTGCTGGAATTACAGGTATGAGCCACCACGCGCGGCCTGATTAATTTTTTTCCTTTGCTTCCAGTGTCTCCTTTATTCCAGGTGGTCTACACATATAGATAAATATTCCTAGAAAACTTTCAGCAAGTTGAATCCTATTATAAAATGCAAGAGTCAATTGTCTAATTTTTATTTTATTTTATTTTATTAATTTTTTTTTTTTTTTTGAGACGGAGTTTCGCTGTTGTTGCCCAGACTGGAGTGCAATGGCACGATCTCCGCTCACTGCAACCTCCGCCTCCTGGGTTCAAGCAATTCTCCTGCCTCAGCCCCCCGAGTAGCTGGGACTACAGGCACGCACCTTCATGCCCAGCTAATTTTTGTATTTTTAGTAGAGACGAGGTTTCACCTTGTTGACCAGGATGGTCTCGATCTCTTGACCTTGTGATCCACCCGCCTCGGCCTCCCAAAGTGCTGGGATTATAGGCGTGAGCCACCGCGCCCGGCCTATTTTATTTTTTTGAGACAGGATCTTGCTTTGTCACCCAGGCTGGAGTGCAGTGGTGTGAACACAGCTCACCACAGCCTTGACCCTCCCAGGCTTCCCAGGCTCAAGTGATCCTTCTACTTCAACCTCCTTAATAGCTGGGACCACAGGCACAGGCCACCACACCCAGCTATTTTTTTCTTTTTCTTTTTCTTTTTTTTTTTTGAGACAGAGTCTCACTCTGTCGCCAGGCTCCAGGCTGGAGTGCAGTGGCATGATCTCTGCTCACTGCAACCTCTGCCTCCCGGGTTCAAGCAGTTCTCCTGCCTCAGCCTCCCGAATAGCTGGGACTACAGGCGTGCGACCACCACGCCCAGCTAACTTTTGTATTTTTAGTAGAGATGGGGTTTCACCATGTTGGCCAGGATGGTCTCGATCTCTTGACCTTGTGATCCACCCGCCTCGGCCTCCCAAAGTGCTGGGATTACAGGCGTGAGCCACTGCGCCCGGCCAATTTTTTCTTTTAAGACATGGTCTCTGTCGCCCAGGCTAGAGTACAGTAGTGCGATCTTGGCTCACTGCAACTTCTGTCTATGGGTTCAAGCAGTCCTTCCACCTCAGCCTCTTGAGTAGCTGGGACTATAGGTATGCGCCACCATACCCAGCTAATTTTTTTTGTGTTTTTAATAGAGACGGACTTTCACAGTGTTGTCCAGGCTGGTCTCAAACTCCTGGGCTCATGCCATCTGCCTACCTTGGCCTCCCAAAGTGCTGGGATTACAGGCATGAGCCACTGCACCAGCCCCACTGCTGTTCTAGCCAGAAGGACTCTACTTAAATGCGTAATTACACAAAGTTTTGATTTTAGTTATGAAACTCATTATTTTGAGATGGATTCTTGCTCTGTCACCAGGCTGGAATACAGTGGCACAATCTCGTCTCAGTGCAACCTCCGACTCCCTGGTTCAAGTGATTCTCCTGCCTCAGCCTCCCGAGTAGCTGGGATTACAGGCACATGCCGCCATGCCAGCTAATTTTTTTTTTTTTTTTTTTTTGTGAGACGGAGTTTCACTCACGTTACCCAGGCTTGAGTGCAATGGCGTGATCTCGGCTCACCGCAACCTCCGTCTCCTGGGTTCAGGCAATTCTCCTGCCTCAGCCTCCTGAGTAGCTGGGATTACAGGCACGCGCCACCATGCCCAGCTAATTTTTTGTATTTTTTAGTAGAGACGGGGTTTCACCATGTTGACCAGATGGTCTCGATCTCTTGACCTCGTGATCCACCCGCCTCGGCCTCCCAAAGTGCTGGGATTACAGGCTTGAGCCACCGTGCCCGGTCGGCCAGCTAATTTTTTGTATTTTTTAGTAGAGACGGGGTTTCACCATGTTGACCAGATGGTCTTGATCTCTTGACCTCATGATCCACCCACCTTGGCCTCCCAAAGTGCTGGGATTACAGGCATGAACCACTTTGCCTTGCCAGAAAAATCATAATTATTTTAGTTATGAAAATCATAATTTCTCACAAAAATAATTTGCCCTTTTTATTAAACAGATCCTAGTATTCCTGAAATTCTGTGGTGCTTTTTCTATATGTAATGTGATACTCTGACGAAATAGCTGATTTAGGTAGCTGCTCACATATGTTTGCTTTAAATTGAAAAGCTGGCCTATGAGAATGAGTGTTGTATAAAAATGGTTTATGTGAACTAAAAAGTTGTTTGCATTTTGTGGCAAATAAAAGCACCAAATTCCCAGATCCTAAATGTTTAAGTAATGAAATATTTGAAGTACCTCTGAATTTACACATCGGCATTCCACTCATTTAGGGACTTATTGATTTTAAGATTTTTCATTCATCAAAAGGGAAAATGTGAGCTGCCATATGTATAATTTTTGTCATCCAAAAAAGAGATTTAAAGTTGAAAATTAAAGTACAGGCCGTGGTGGGTCATACCTGTAATCCCAGCACTTTGGGAGGCAGAGGCAGGAGGATTACTTGAGCCCAGCAGTTTGAGGATGCAGTGAGCTGTGGTCACATCACTGCACTGTAGCCAGAGTGACAGAGGGAGACCCTGTCTCTAAAACAAAACAAAGCAAACAAAAAGGCTGCTTAGAAATCATGAACTGTTCTTTTTACTATCAGGACATGTGATCATATGTCTACTCGGGAGTAAGGTCTAGCCAGTTCTCAGTAGATGTTCAGTTATTAAATTGGAATGAAGGCATGAATGTGGGGATGAAGTGGAGGAGGGGCTGAGTTGGAGATACTGGTGATTTGGGAGGTGTTAGTAACACTGAATGTGGGCATAGAAGTGGTGAGGAAGAGGAGTCAAGGATGAGTTGAGGGTTTCTGGTTTGGGTGCCTTGGAAGATGGTGCTAGCAAGCAGCCACTCACCAAGAAAGCAAGTAAGGGGAAAGATCAGGTTTAGGAGGGAGGATGCATTCAGGCAATGAATGTATGGCATACACCAGGCAGTGAGTAAATTGTGAGTGAGTAAATCTGGGCCTGTGTGTTTTGAGATGTCTGTGGGATATTTAAGTTTCTCTGGTTTCTTATCAAGAAGGTAGAACAGGCCGGGCGCGGTGGCTCAAGCCTGTAATCCCAGCACTTTGGGAGGCCGAGGCGGGTGGATCACGAGGTCAAGAGATCGAGACCATCCTGGTCAACATGGTGAAACCCCGTCTCTACTAAAAATACAAAAAATTAGCTGGGCATGGTGGCACGTGCCTGTAATCCCAGCTACTCGGGAGGCTGAGGCAGGAGAATTGCCTGAACCCAGGAGGCGGAGGTTGCGGTGAGCCGAGATCGTGCCATTGCACTCCAGCCTGGATAACAAGAGTGAAACTCCGTCTCAAAAAAAAAAAAAAAAAAAAAAAAAAAAAGGTAGAACTGGTCTGCAGAGAGAGCTTTTGGATTTGTTGAAGTCATGGGCTTAGATGCAGCCATCTGAACTGTGTGTGTAAAGCAAAAAAGGGGTCTTCAGACAGCAGTATGGAGGACACCACAGTAGCATGAGGGCACCAGCAGGTAAGAAGTGAGCAGAGAAGGGCGTGTCCATGGAGGAACCAAGGAGTGGTCAGAGAGGGTACAGAAAGATGGTGGTTGTTCTGGGATCTGAGGTCGGGACCACCTCAAGAACAAGGGCTTGGTCATGGGACAAGGGCTGCAGAAAAGCCAAGAAGGCCTGGGGTTGAACCATGAGGTGGTCTCTGGAGACCTTGAGGAGAGCCACTTCAGTGAACTGGAGGCGCAAGTCACATTGCAGTGGGTGGCGAGTGAGTAATGCAGAGGAAGTGGGAGAGTGAGCGGAGGTGCTCTTCCATGAGGCTTGTCTGGCAAGGAGAGGATGGTGTAATAAAATGAGGAGGCCACAGTGCAAGGGAAGTGGTAAGGGTGTTGTCATCCATTGTATGTAGGTATGTATGTATGCATGTATTTTGAGACACAGTCTCGCTCTGTCGCCCAGGCTGGAGTGCAGTGGTGCAGCCTTGGCACACTGCAACCTCTGTCTTTGGGTTCAAGCGATTCTCCTGCCTCAGCCTCCCAGATAGCTGGGATTACAGGTGTCTGCCGCCATGCCTGGCTAATTTTTGTATTTTTAGTAGAAATGGAATTTTGCCATGTTGGTCAAGCTGGTCTGGACCTCCTGACCTCAGGTTATCTGCTCGCCTTCGCCTCCCAAAGTGCTGAGATTACAGGTGTGCGCCACTGCACCCGGCCTGTTTGTTATTTATTTTTAGATGAGAGGACTTGAATGGAAAGAACGGTTGAGTGTCTGGGGAGTGAGGATCATTGAAGGAGACGCCTGCCTTTGCACTAGAAAGGATGATATTTGGACTTTAAGTAGAGGGCTGCTCAGAAAGAAGACAGCTCTCCCATGGCTGAGTGGGGGAGGAGTTCAATCTGGAAATGTGTGTATAATACAAGAGGGAGTGACTAGGCCTTTCATATGGTGGCAGGTGGATATTGATGGAGGAGGTGGGTATGCATGTGTGGGAGTGGTGCATGAAAAAAAGCTCACACAGGCAGGCACTGGGCAGAAGGGGGGGTGCTGGGGTATATGGCACCAACTAGTGGTGTGGCTGCAGCAAGGGTTGCCACCCAAGGGTGTGGTGAGAAACTAGGCTGGAAAGGAGGGAGGGTTGGCAGGCTCAGAAGGGCTGAATATTTTCTGAGTGGGGAGGAGCCGCTTAGGGAGAAATAAAGTGGTCAGACCCATGATTTCAAAACTCATAGCAGTTTATGGCAGAGTTTAGTGGGAGAGAGAGGGAGAGAGATTGTTTGGAAGCCGATTGCAGTAACCTGGGTGAAGGTAATTAGGGCTAGACATAGGGAAGTTGCAGTGGGAGAGAGAAGGACTCCAGAAGTTGAGTTGTCACACTGGCACCTGATTGACCAGGGTGAAGGCAGGCAAGGAAGGAGAAGAGGGATAAGGAGGAGATACGGAAGGTGGCTGCGTGAGAGGATGGCCATGCCACTGTGGAACAGGGAGCATGGGAGGAAGAGGAACAGGTTCAGCGAGGTAGGGGAACAGCTCAGTTTTAGGGCATATTCACATTTGTGTAGCAGCCAGCTGGCAGCCAGAATTAGGGGTCTGAAGCTCAGGACAGGCCTCAGATCTCATGGAAGCTTGAGATCATCATCTTTCAATTGGAAGTGGTTAAGATTTATTTGAAAGAACAAGAGAAAAATAAATCTTGATATGGATATGGACTGGTAAACTTCACAGATCATTTAAGTGTATTTTTAACTATGTTAGAAAAAAGTCGGGCCGGGCGCAGTGGCTCAAGCCTGTAATCCCAGCACTTTGGGAGGCCGAGGCGGGTGGATCACGAGGTCAAGAGATCGAGACCATCCTGGTCAACATGGTGAAACCCCGTCTCTACTAGAAACTACAAAAAAATTAGCTGGGCATGGTGGCGCGTGTCTGTAATCCCAGCTACTCAGGAGGTTGAGGCAGGAGAATTGCCTGAACTCAGGAGGCGGAGGTTGCGGTGAGCCGAGATTGTGCCATTGCACTCCAGCCTGGGTAACAAGAGCGAAACTCCGTCTCAAAAAAAAAAAAAAAAAAAAGTCTTTGATGACCAGAATGTAGTGGTGCTCCACAAACTGCTAAAAATTAGCACATCTAGAATAAGCTAGAAAATAAATCTAAGATGTTTCAATAGAAATGCTGTTATCTTGATCTGGCTCTGTTTGTTTTTTTCCTATCAGGTTAAAATCTGTTTCTTCAGTCATTTTGTTTATCCTTTTTGAGAAGAGACTTCAGAGGACTGACAGGGACTAGCTGGTTATATTTTTGAAAAGTCTTTGAAGATGAAACATACTGTTTTGAGTATGGTGACATTGCATTAATTATTCCCTGGTTTTGACACCAGTGGATACTGATGTGGTTTGGATGTGTGTTGCCTCCAAATCTTATGTTGAAATGTGATTCACAGTGTTGGAGTTGCGGTGTAGTGGGAGGTGTTGGATTATGGGAATGGATCTCTCATGAATGGCTTAGTACCACCTCCTGGGTGATGAGTTCTCACTCTGTTCATGTGACAACTGGTTGTTTAAAAAGAGCCTGGCACCTCCTCCTCTCTCTCTTGTTCCCTCTCCCACCATGTGACACACTTTCCCCTTTGCCTTTCACCATGATTGCAAGCTTCCTGAGGTCCTCACTGGGAGCAGATGCTGATGCCATCTTCCCTGTGTGGCCGACAGAACTGTGAGCCAAAATAAACCTCTTTTCTTTGTAAATTACCTATCCTCAGGTATTCCTTTATAGCAACGCAGAAAAGACTAACATAGAAAATTGGTACCAGGAGAGGGGCATTGCTATAAAGATACCTAAAAATGTGGAAGTGGCTTTGGAACTGCGTAATGGGCAGAAATTGGAAGAGTTTGGTGGGCTCAGAAGAAGACAGGAAGACGAGGGAAAGTTTTGGCACTTCTTAGATACTGATTAAATTTGACCAAAATGCTGGTAGAAATATGGACCGGGTGGGGTGGCTCATGCCTGTAATCTCAGCACTTGGGAGGCTGAGGTGAGTGGATCACTTGAGCTCAGGAGTTTGAGGCCACCCTGGACAACGTGGCAAAAACCTGTCTCTACAGAAAATGCAAAAATTAGCCGGACATGGTGACATGCGCCTGAAGTCCCAGCTACTGGGGAGGCTGAGGTGGGAAGATGGCTTGAGCCTGAGAGGCAGAGTTTGCAGTGAGCCAATATCAAGTCACTGCGCTCTAGCCTGGGTGACAGCCAGATCCTGTCTCAAAATAAACAAGAATTGTGTAAGCTGAACTAGTTGAGATGTCTATGGTGTTGGCTATTATTTCTGCTGTTAATCATTAGTCCACTTAAACTAGGACCTGAACAAGGTTAACTTTTTTCTTGCATATCGACACTGATGGTTTGCTGCTGTAAGCTTTAACATGCCCTTTCTTTTTCTTTTTTTCCTACTTTGGGAAAAAAATTCTTTTTTAATAGAATTAGTTCTTAGTGTGTTGTCCAGGCTGGTCTTGAACTCCTGAGCTCAAGTGATCCTCCCTCCTCAGCCTGCCAATGTGTTGAGATTACATCTGAGCCACTGCGCCTGACCGTTCTTAAAGGGTTATCCACTTGAAAACTGCTGATTTTTGGGAGGGGGCATTGTCCCCATAAACTTTTCAAAAAGCAACAGTGATTTCACCTTTCTGCCCAAACTTCACCATAAATTTGATGGTTTTTTTTTTTTTGCTTCAATTTTCGCAGAAGTCTAGCCCTACATGGTGACAGGTGCCTGTAATCTCAGCTACTTGGGAGGCTGAGGCACGAGAGTCACTTGAATTCGGCAGGTGGAGGTTGCAGTGAGCCGAGACGGCACCATTGCACTCCAGCCTGCATGAAAGAGCGAGACTCCATTTCAAAAAAAAAAAAAAAATTAGCAGAATTTATGTTGCTCTCATAGGAGTCTTTTCAAACGGACGTTTATCCGTTTGAGGCACTAAAAAGTGCTTCAAACTAGATTTCGTTCAGACATGTTATGACAAGTTAGTACAAGTTTATTTTGGTGCAAAAAATTTTTCAAATCCATGCATAGTTTTTTCTTTTTCTTTTTTGTTTTTTTGAGACAAGGTCTGTCTCTGTCATCCAGCCTGGAATACAGTGGTGCAATCTTGGCTCACTGCAACCTCTGTCTCCGAGAGTAAGCCCTTTTCCCATCTCAGCCTGAGTATCTTAGGACTACTGGTACACACCAACATGCCTGGCTAATTTTTGTATTTGCTGGTCTCGAACTCCCCAGTTCAAGTGATCTGTCTGCTTCAGCCTCCCAAAATGCTGGGATTACAGACATGAGCCACCGTGCCTCGCCATAGTTTTTTCATAATACTCATTTTCCTTGAAATTTTTGATGACCCCTCATGTCTGTATTCCTGTTTTGTAGTAATCACACATTTATTACGAGTCTGCCTAATACCCATTGCTGTGCTTGTCTCTGGGAATTCAAAGAGGATTAAGCTAGTATCTCTGCCGTTGAGCACATGGCTTAGTGGAATGTCATAAAGAGCCATTTAGTGACCACTGTCAATGTCTGTGTAAGAGCAGTGAAGAGCAGCTGCCATTGATGAGGATGGCTCACATTTATGGTGCACTTACAATGCCTTTTATCCATACTGATTCATTTCATTCTCACACCAAATTCTGTTAGAGGTACAGAAAGGTTAAATAGTAGCTGGAAATTAGGTTAACCAACATTAAAAACTGGGTGGTCTGTGCTGTAAGAAGAGGGGAAGCTGCAGTCTAGTTAGGGTGACTGTTGTATTATTGAAGATAAGGGGATGAGGACTTCGTGCATGTGTGTGGAGCCTGGGGGGCCAAGGGACAATGGGAAAGGACATCAGAAGTTATGGTTAAATTAAGCCTAGACAGGCTAGTCTGAAGTCAAACAGTAGAAGGTGAGGATAGAGAGGGGGATGGGAACCAGATTATGAAAACAG